CTAACAAAGCAGGCACACCCCAAAGAAATTGAGATAAAAAAATAAAATCAGGTCGTGGTAGAGTCCCAACTTTGGGTTACTGCTCCTGTGTGAGAACTGGCTATCTTGCCACTCTTGTATTTATATTCAACTGTCTCCTTATGATAAATTCTTTTGTGTGTTGGTCTATTCAATTCATCTCACTACTTACTGATATTTGCAATAAAAGGATAAAGATTAAAAGAAAAATGGGTTTTAGTTAATAGGATTTGAGATCCCCACTGAATGTTCTGGTGGAAACATCTAACAGGAGGTTAATAATAGTTTGGTGCACCATCCAAGAAATTGACTGCATGTATTGAATACTTATTTCAGGAGTATTCCCAGGGGGGCCCATAGCCAGAAGACATGGGCCTCCCCAATCTTATCTTCTAGGAGAAGAATCAGGAAACACACACAGTCAGTTAAGCTGAGTACCCTGTCATTTTCTCACACTTCAGGCTCTGCCTCTTCATGTTTTAGGCACTGCTGTGTCACAGCCTAGTGGTGGTGGTATAAAGAAGAAAGAAAAAAATAAAATTCACTCATAATTTTATCACCCAGAGACAACTATTCTTGCTAAATGGTGTGCAATTATTTCCATGCATTATAGATACTAAATAAATAAACACACACACATACAAGGAATGGTGACTGGGAGGAAGTATTTGCCTGTGGTTGTTATATATGCTGAGGCTATGGTCATCTAGATTGTTCAGGAGGAAGAGAGGTAAGAAATAGCAGCAGCAAGTATAATTTGGTCCAGCTATATCCATGTTGCTGCAAATGGCATGAGTTTATCTTTTTTGTGTAACTGAAATAAGGCAGAAGGAGTAGAATAAATAGCAGATGGTATCACTAATATGTGGAATTAGAAAAAGCAAACATGGGTTAAAGAAACTTTAAAACAAACTCTTGAAAACTGACTATAGATCTCAGACTTTCAGACAGGGAGTGAGAGAAATGAAAACAGGGGTGAGGAGGTAACACAGTGATCTATGGGGGAGGAATATTGCTGTTTGGATGGAAGGAGGGCTTTGGTGACTACACCATGGGTGGAGTCGGGGGAAGAACCCTACACGCTCAGAACACAAGCAAACATGCAAAATAATGGTATTTGAACAGCAATAGAAGGAGTAAAAAAGTTACCTTAGTAAAATTAAAGCTATGTACTTTAAATAAATGCAAAGTGAAAGATTTGTGATTTTTGAGTAGAAATGATGCTCTAGTTTTTGTGGCTAAAAACAGAATTTTTATCTAACCCTTAAAATTACTAAGTGTAATTGTCTATAAACATTGTAATTAACCCAATAGCATTATATGTGATGAGTAATGACAGACATTTGTGGAAAACTCCTCATGCAAATCTGACAAAATAGTGTTTATTTCAGATGAACAAGCCTAGTATTATTAATGTTCAGTGTTTTTCCTTTCCTTCCAGGCAGGAGCTAAATATCTGGGACAACTTTGATGATTCTATTATCACCTACTTCATAGAGTACAGAAATCTAAAATGTGATACAACTCTGCTAAAGAAATTGGGAATGATTTCTTAGTTTAGCTACAAATGAAGACCAGAGCACCTCCCTGAGTCAAAGACTTCACCACATCTCATAAATCAACAGCAGCTTGTATTCTGTCTGGGATGACTTCCAAACATGTGTTAAGCATTATATGTCATGGAACTTTGTATAATAAAAAGTTTATTTTTTATTAAATGATCACTAGGACATTTGTCAATTATGATGGTTATCTGGATCCTGCTTGCTCCTTCCTTCCTTTTCCTCTTAAAAGTCAGAGTCCCTTTAAAATGTTTTAAGTTGAGGGGGCCCTCCCTGGTGGCACAATGAGTTATGACACAGTACTGCAAGCTGGCTGCAGCCGCTTCAGTGTGAGTTTGATCCCAGGCCCTGGAGGTGATCCACATGGCACAGCAGACCTCTCCTGACCCGCCCACTGCTCCCCTCAGCAGTGTACTTTGTCCATCTGCCTGTTCTGCTCCCTACTCTGTCTCTGGTGAAGCCTCTCACCGCCCTGCATCTCTGGATTGTGCCCCAGTTCTGTATGAATAAATAAAAAAAAAAGTTTTTTAGGCCCTGAATCATATTGCCATTTTCAACATGTCATATCCCTGCCCCAAAACCATATTTAGTGACACAGTAAAAGGACAGGCAGGAAACATTTTCCAAGTTTTCTTTGAACATGGTACTTATAACTAGAAATAACATTGAAAAATTCGGAGTTTGTAATTAGCAATTAGTATGTATTAAATTTTCAATGTATACTCTGGAGGATAGACCATTTTCTTCCTATTTTATTGGGTACATAGTTCTTTTTTTTCTGCTTAACTTTTAAGGAACCATTTATGAGATGCAAACATGCTAGATGCAAAAGCATTCTGGTCAATATGGTTTCCTCTAAGAAAACACATTTTATAATGAACAGAGAGCATTTCTTAAATCACAGAGGGTAGATTTTAATACGCAATCGAAGCTTGTTTTTTCCAAGCTGTTTTTACAGAACATTAATTTTCACTATTTTAAATACAAGAGTCTTGATTGGGTCCTGGGTAAGGCAGAAGAAACGGTTGAAAGACATTACGAGAATTAAGAGAAACTAAGTATGGTCTATATATTGGAAATGCTACATCAGTGTTCACTTCTGAGAGTGTGATTAAAAAAAAAACATCGTTGTTATAGAGAATGGTGTCCTTATTCTTAGACAATCATACTGAAGAACTGAAGCGTCAAGTATGACAGCTGCAACTTTTCAAATGGTTCCCAAGAAATTTGTTATTTACATATATAGCAGGAGGGAGAGCAAGCAAGAGATAAAACAAATGTCACAAAATATGAAGGCTCTATTGGTACCAACTTGCACTTCTAAATTTTTTTTTTTAAGATTTATTTGTGCATACAGAACTGGGGTACAGGCCAGAGGTACAGGGGTGGTGAGAGCATTCACCAGAGACAGTGGGGAGCAGAACAAGCAGATCAACGAAGTACACTGCTGAGGGGAGCAGTGGGCCGGTCAGGAGAGGCCTGCCGCGACACGTGGATCACTTCCAGGACAGGTGGGGATCGAACTCATGTGGAAGTGGCTTTCGATTCTTTGTGCTGTGCTTTAGCCTGCTGCGCCACCAGGGAGGGCCCTGCACTTCCAACTTTTAAGTAGGCTTTGGTTCAAGACTTGTCTAAGATCAGGAAAAAGTATGTAACATATCCAGGGTATTTAAGCCTGTAATCTTTTCATCCTACCCCACTTGCCAAAGATCTAAGTATCATATAACACATTCATTTTCCAAGACTATAGTTTGGGAACACCAACTAAACACCTGAAAGGAATCTAACTTTGCTTTAAGTGTTTGATCCTTTTTTCTTTCCAGGACATTTTAATGTTGTTGTTTTTTTTAAAGATTTATTTGTTCATACAGAACTGGGGTACAGGTCAGAGGCTAAGGGGCAGTGAGAGGCTTCACCAGAGACAGAGTGGGGAGCAGAACAGGCAGATCGACAAAGTACACTGCTGAGGGGAGCAGCGGGCGGGTCAGGAGAGGTCTGCCACGTCATGTGGTCACCTCCGGGGCAGGTGGCAATCAAACTCCTGTGGAAGTGGCTTTAGCTTCTCAGTGCTGTGCTTTAACCCGCTGTGCCACCAAGGAGGGCCACATTTTAATGTTTTAACAAACAGTAAACATACGGCTTGTCTTTTTCAACACAAATAAGCAGAATGGCCTCCAAAGAGACACTCTACTGCCAGCCGCACAGAACTGAGACCCAGGCCATGCCCCTGATCACACGTGCTTGATGCCTCTGTAAACTGCTGGTTTTCACCTAAAAAAAGTTCTTTTGTGAGTTTCACCTTACTGGAAAATCTCTATTTTATCATTGCTTTTTCTTTAAAGGATATGGTCGGAAAAATGTAATGTTCTAGATACACACACAGTGGTAAATTTTTGTTTCTGGTCTGATTACTATTTTCCAACAGAAACTTCAACAAAATGCCTCACTAGTTTTTCAATGCCACCATCAATCCTTGTTTAGAACAGTGTGTCTCAAAGTGTGTTTTCCAGCAGAGCAGCAGCACCTGGGAACTGGTTAGAAACATAAATTCTCAGATTCCACAACTCATCATAAATTCTGGGGTGGGGTGCAGCAATCTGTATTTTAACAACCCCCCCACCCAGGAGATTATTACAAGCTGAAGTGTGAGAGCTGCTTATGTAAATAGTAACTTTATGTCTAGTGTGGAGTGTCCCACCCAACTATAATATTTCCCTTGACTTTACCATCCAGATCAGCAATAAGCTCACAAAAAAACAAGCCACTCTGACAAGTCAGTATATATACCCTCTCTAAGTCTTAGGAAATGTTAGGCAAGTTTATTTAATCTATGTGACTCAGTTTCCACATATAAAAGGTAACAGAGAACATGGCATAAACTACCCGTACCTTCTGTCTAGATGATTCATAATCAATGATTATCATTACTATTGAGCTTACTTACTATCACACTTGATTTTCACAATACAAACTGACAATGTCAGAAACTAAGTCACATGACTAAAGAAATTCAACTTGATAAAGGCACCAAGATTGGAACTCAAACCTCCCAACTGCAAGTTCTGGTTTTGTCCACTAGATAGGCTGTTTCCACAGTATCAACATTTATTCCAAAATGTAACATTACATTTTAATACTGAAATATGTGGAAATATTTCAATGGTAGCCTTTAGTAAAAATTAAATCATAAAAGTATACTTACCTGTTTTCCTAAGCTTGATAAACTAGACTAAATATAGGAAGGTGAAATAAAAAAGCAATTTCTTTATTTTTAAGCTTTATTTTATCACCCTTATCAAACACATCAGAAAGCATATCAACAGTTCATCTTGGGGAAGTCAGTTTACAACAAAACTGAACAAGGCAATTGTGTTTACAGAAAAAGTTTTCAGCAAAAAAACTATATGCAACACAGTCAACTGAAATGCAGTGTCCGTATATTTTAGGTATATAGGAAAAGTGGAAAATAAAAGTTCTTTGCTACTCAGCAAGGACAAAAAAGTTTAAAAGACCTGTATAGATATCAGAAACTTAGGGATATGAGAAAAGAATTCCTTGGTACTGATACACATCTACATTTACAGTTCCACTTAGTTATTAAACAAACAAAATAAAACCTCACAAACAAGAAGACATCACCAAGAACAGAGAACCATAGTACCAAAAAATGCCAATATGCTACTGAAACAACTGGTAGAAATATTCTAGACAGCAATTCACTATGTACTGTAATATTCTTGCAGTTCTGAGGTGAAGGTAAACCAACAGGAGAGAATACTCCCTATAACTGGCTTTGGTTTAAGTGATCTTTCACATTTTTTTCTTAACCATACCTTCTTACCAAAAAAAAAAAAAAAAAAAAAAAAAAAAAAAAAAAAAAAAAAGCTATTATATCTTATTGAGGGAAAAAAAGTAGTAGATTTAAATAGTCACAACCAGTCACTGTGGTGCTAAAGGAAGCCGTGAACTGTTAAAATCCATTGCTCATAACTGGACTTCTAAGAGTGATCAAAAGATAACAAAGATGGAGTCCTTTGTGTAAGGAAAAAAAGAAAAACCTTTTTACTCCAGATTTGACACTTAAAATATAAAGGAATGTTCAAATGATTTCAGACTATTTTTTAAAAGGAATTAAGAATGAAGGAGGAAATCCTGCTGAAAAAGACATGATAGCTTTACACTCTGCAAAATAAATATACTACAGAGGAGCAGCTTCACTTGTTTTATTATAATAAATAAACACTACTTACTTGCATAAGGTGCTATAACTGTGTAACTAGTGCATACTTAACGCCACCCACTGTACCCAATGTGCAAAGAGATAGTCAATCCCCAGTTTCTTTCTAATTCTTGATAGCATTTTTTTTAATGTATACCAATACACAAAAGCTGGAGTTCACATATTTATTTTTAAAAATTAAACCAAGCTGAACATGGACAGTTCATTTGGTTTCATACACTCTTAAAATAATTTTCTGGGGAAACAAAATGAGGAATGTGTAGGTAAGACAGTTTTTCCATGCTACAGGAACTAAGCCTGGATTTTTAAAAATAAATAACATTTTAAAATCATAAATATAAAAAAGATAACTAGTATCAGTAAGAAGGCCGTCTTCTTCCCCTTGCTGTCTGTAGTAGTCATCTTTCTCTTCTTTACTGTTAAATTCTGTTAACCCATGCCAACCAAATCGAGTAATAATTTAAACCGAAGAAATTTTTCAAAACATATATTGGATGACTTCAGATGTAAGATTTAAATACCTCACTACATTTACTTTTACATATTCATTGTTCAGACATGAGGAAAGATAACCTAGGGAAAGGTAATTCCAATCTGGGATAAAAAATAACTTCTCTTGCTGACAATCAAATATCATAACAAATAGCTCCAATGTTTACATAGTTTCCCAAAAAGAAACAAAAAATTAATGATTCCAGTTTGGGTTTTCCCCCAGAATGGGACTTACTTTATTATACAAAGTAGTATGACAAAATAAGCTCTTTTCTGCACATGGATTAATTGTCATAAAAGCAAGTAAGACAGAATGCTTCTCCTTGCCTGTAAATAAAAATATATTGAACCTCTGTCATAAAACATTCATATCCTTCAAAAAAGCTATCAGTTTTCTTTAGTATATTGTGGCAGCTATGCTACTTATGGGAGAGAACACTCCGGCAAGCATTTGATAAGCTTTCTGGAAATTTCAGCATTTATGGTGCCACAAACCTAACTTCTATGATTATGACAACGCTCTGAGAAGCACAAATAAAGCAAATTTAAAACATTAATCCTCACAAGCAGCATAAGGATCAACAAAAGTGCTGAGCTACAGGAAAATGAATAAAACTTCATGTCAGAAGACCAAAGGTTATGTAAACTATATCTTTTATATTCTTAAGATCCCCTTAGTGACCATCTATAAAATATAAAATTTCCTAACTGCTTTCTGGTTTATAGATATTTCTTTCACAGGCCATTTCTCCTAATAAAATTGCAGCAAAAATAGTTAAAATTGTCCACTTTCTTGTTAAACATCTGCAGTACTTGTCAATTACATGCCATTGTGTGAATTTTTGGTCAATATACAATTTAAAAGATAATGAAAAATATAAAGAGGGGGACTAAGAGAACAAATATGATATAATCTGTGGTATTAGGCAGAGAAGTTAAACTAGAACAAAATTTCAATATACTTCAAAAATAAAAATATCCAAGTTCCTCTTTAAGAAAATATAACATCCAAATTTACTATAAGCAGCTCAGATGAATTCTATGTTAGGGTAATTCAGTATTTTAATATTCATTGTTAAAGCTAGAAGAAATTAATACTAACTTGAAGAGACTACCAACTCAAAGGTGCTTTATCGAGCACCTTAAGAATGAGTGGAAATTCGTCTGAGCTAACATATTACCAAGGGCTAGTCTGTATGTAACCATACTTGATAAGAAGTAAATTATATCAGAGAGAGTACTAAGATCTGAAGGAAGACTCTAGTATTAAAAGAGAAACTAGATCCAAGGAAGAATTAAAAGTCTGCCAGATAATACCAGCTTTTCCATCTTATGTAATACTGGGTTAAATCAAATATGAACAGCTTAACATATACAAAAATATGTAAACCAAGGAAATTTTGGACTTTTATTCTACATGACTCAACCCAAAAGTTATTCCAGGGAAAAGGCAAAGGTACAATGTTCATCATCTGGGAAGTTTTCACCCAAATAAGTGTCAATATTTTTCCAGGAAACACAAGGCACTTGCTTAAATCTTTGACTAGCTACACATCCACCAGACGAAAAGTCAAAATGTGATTCCTTCTGTACCCTAATTTGATAGCATGTACCCTCGCATAAGAATCTAGGTAAAACTTGTGATCACTGAGGGTCACCCCAACTCCCTCACCTGGTTAACTGTTACTGTAATTCCTGTGGTACTGATTTGCATTAAATCATAAAATATAAAATGGCATGCTGCCACTGGTCTTAGGATTTACATCATGGAGGCCTAACTCAGTAGTAAGACCTAGGAAGAAAATAATGCCAAAATACCAATTACCTGCATCTTATGAATAAACATCAAGGAGCCATGAAGCAGCACCCAAGTACTTCAACTCTAACTTAAATTTATTCTAGAAAGGGAACTGATACTCTTGCCAGGGTGACAGCCTGCTCTGGACAAAAACATAACTTTTCTCCAACTGCCTCAATGTGAAAACACTGTACCTGACAGCATTCCTTGTAATAAATTAGCTCAAAGGTTAAAATGTAAGTACATGTAACATGAATATGGAAGATAAATAAGAATTCAGAGATTTTTTTTTTACAGGTCAATTTAACAATCTCATCACTCTAGCAGCTGGAGTACCTAAAAGGTGTCAATACTGTCTCCATGAAAACAAAGAGAGGGAGGAGCAAAACTCTGGTTCCATTCTAAAAGCAGTCAATAGTTTTGGCTGAAGCACAGCAGAGAAGGAATTCTCTAAAAAGTTGCCATGCTGATGGCCACAAAATAAGGAAGCAAATAAAATCACTTACTACAAGAGGATCATTTTTGTATCATCCCTTTTATATGCTGTGTGTATTATTCTTTTAAAATGCAAGCAGTAGCTATTTTTAATCAGTGCTATCTCTATTGAAGAATTCCATCTCCTCTTGTTTTCTGTAAACACAACAGTAAAATTTTTGAAAGTGAATAGCTGGCCCCTCCTTCAAATATGTTTCCAAAGAACCAAAGATTTCCTAATGAATACCCAATCTATACGGTTTTCTGGGACAAAAAAAATGTACCATGACATACCATGGAATAAAGAAGGCAAGAGAGAGAGGAAGCACAGATTTTAATTCAGGGAAAGAAAAACTACCTGAGATAAAATTGGCCCAAAAGGGGAGGGGTTAGTGAAATGACTCCTCACCTCTTTACCTCTCAAAAAGAAAGTGTTCATGTTTTTAATGACTTCAAGGACTCAAAAATCTTTGCCCTATATAGTTCATACTAGCAGAATGGTGAAATTTTTATATTTTGATAATATTTGGTTCGGGTTTAAGGTAATAAGATTAAACTTCTGATAATATCAAAGGAAGGAGAGAAATTTGTCATCTTTGGTAGTCAAGGGCTGACAGCTATAAAGGAATGATTTAAATTACAGGAGGCATCCATTTTCAATTCTGTGGGCTTACTGAAAAATATTTTGTTCAATACATGGTTATTTAAACTCAACAATTATTCTCTCAGCTCCTTTAAAATCTAGTTAGCATCTTCTGGAATAAAATTCTTCAGTGTTAAACACTATATATGTACGACTATATCAGCAATAAATGATCAAAGAATGCTGTGAAACTCAGCATCAGATGTTAGCAGCATACTGCATCACTAAGCTTATAAGCCTACCTGCAGTTTTTTTTTTTTAATTATTTTTCTTTTGGTGATGGTGGAGGGGGTGAAAAGGGAAGAAGGGTGAGAGAGTTACACATAGTAATCTAGAACACTTGCCTTAAAAAAAGAATTCATTTGTATTCTGGTTTATCAGTATGTATGGATTTTTTTTTTCTCCAAACATATTTTTTTTTCTTTTTTTTTTTTTCCAACGTGGAAGTTGCTACCCATACAAACATTTAAGTTTTAGGAAAGCGTAGGTCTCCACATTACAGTTATACTCTCTTATTTGAAAACAAACCAGCTAATCAACTTCTAAAGAGCCAAAATGAAAACTAATAGTTCTTCTTTGTAAGGGCACTTAGAAGCTTTCTCTATGATTTTCCTTGGAGTTATGCCAGTAGGCCTTTTGGCAATTCATAAATAGCCTCTTTGCACCAAACCTGACTTCATAATAAATACTAAGGACAACTATGAACAATTTGATTTCTGTAAAAAAATTAAAATATTAAATAGTAATAGTTTGAACACGGGAAAATAATTCATCCTCTAAAATGCTAATTCTTAGTTAGGCTCTCAAACTGTGTGGCACACAAGAGGCTACCAGAAGGGAAAGATATAAAACTTTCTTTAGGAAATATAAATAAATAAATAAAAATTTCATTTAGGTGAGGAAACAAGATCCACAACGTTGTGTACAACTTTTTCTCTTGTGTAATCAGTGCTTTAGAAGTTTCTTCAGTTTTAAGCCTTTTAAGACAATTTATCATAAAGTGGGAGGAATCCATAATTGTTAACTTATGAGACCATGTAATCAACCTGTGTCTGCAAACTCACACACACACTAGTATCCTCTGCTTAGGAACACATTAGATTGGTATGAATCCTTTTCAGAATTCATTTCAGTCTTCTTCCTTTAGAGTTCCAGCTTGAATTACAGCTACACCTTTCTTAACCTCCTTGCAGTCAAAAACTAGCCATCTGTGATGCTGTTCTAGCTATTCTTGAGCTAAGGACAGAGGCAGAGAATGGGGTAAGGGGAACAGGAATAGAGGGGATGAGAGAAATAAGAGAAAGAGAATCTTGATTATCACATTCTCTTTGACTAATTTGTTTTTCTTTTCCCTTCACTGAACATCAAATTCTTTTTTTTTTTTGACCCACTTCAATTTTCTACCACAGTGGGCAGAACTTGAGAAATCTTACAGTGATCATAGGAAATTCAGTACAAAAAGATGCACTAATATAGAGCCTAAAGTAGATTAGAGGATGGGGCAATGGATGTGTAACAAAGCTTTTCCTTTGTTCCTATCACTTTAAGAGTTTCACTATAACCCAGCCTAGATAAATCTGACCTGGGCCTCTCGGGAATGAACTATTTTCTCATTTACATCCTATCTGACAGACCACCTCACAAAAACTTCTATCTTAAATCATACAAACATGAAACATGTAGGGGAGAAGTGGGTATAGACTATTAGCTCATCAGATTCACACTACAAAGGACGCTGACAAATTTTCCCTAATCTTCCATACCTGCACACTCACCTGGGCATACATTATAAACATAAAAATTGTGCAAGATCAAGCATCAGTTTTCTATTTTAAAAGCCTTAATTTAAACAAACAAACAAAAAAAATGGAGATAGGCTCACTGCAGTTTCTATAAAAGAATATTCAGTCCTACAGTACTGTTTAAAAGAAAACCCTAACTCAGTGTTAAGAACACAGTAGGTAGGTAACTGCTGCCTGACAATTACTTAACATTACCAAGAGCATCCAGTGCCAGCTATGGATATCAACAATCAGGAAGAACCACCCAACAACATAAAGACAATCTGTAAATGATGTCGCCAGCTCTAACAAATTTGTTAATGATAGTCACTAGGACATATTATTCATTCTTGCTTCATGATCACATGAAATAAGTATTATCTTTTTAGGTTACATACTGAAGAGCAGCACTTGCCATACCGCACAAAAAAAGATTGCCCACATGAATGCTCTAGAACCCCTCAATGTATAGCTGAGAGGTCTTGTCCTACTCAGTGCCAAATGTCTGCTAACGCAGTCACTGCTTGAGCAATGCTGCATAGTAGTAGGATTAAATAAATATACAAAGTATTCCCTTAAAATGGTAAGGGGTACTGCTGCATTCAGGTGTAGAATACAATAACCCAGGAATGGAAGAGAAGAAATAGGAAATAGTCCTTAGGTTACTGATTAAAGCAAAGTTTGATACAGATATCCCCTCTTGTAGGCACTCAGCGGGTAGAAAGTAGCCACAACAAACTTCCCGTCAAACATCCTTCCAGTCAGTAATTTCTGAGCAGCTTTGGAATCACCAGCATTTGCATACTCAACAAAAACCTGTAAGAGGACAGAGAAAACAAAGCAACTTCATTTTCAGCAAGATCATTTTTAGAATAGCATTTTTCTGAC